GGGGGAGGGATGGAGGAGGTGGACAAGTTAGAAGGTGCAGCCTCTTGCAAGGTGCAGGGTCAGCAGCAGATACCACCTCCGGGGCTGTCTGGGATGGGCTTGTTTGGAGCAAGTTCTGCTGGGTTAGTCTGAGTTTCTAGTGGGAAATTCCTAATGCTGGTGACTCAGCCTCTGACTCCCTCTCTGAAGGCCCTTCTAGTCCTCAAAAGCAGTTCAGAATCTACCTCTCTGGAGCAGCCAGGAGGCTTCCAGGCCCCTACCCATTCTCGGGACATTCTTGGTACCTCTCATTTGGCCTAGAGTCACAGTGACCTAATATTTTACTGGACCCTGTGCTCCTCTGTCCCAGTGCTCGAAGGCAGGGACACACACTAGGTGTCCTCCCCAGGATCTGGAGCATGGACCGCAACCTAAGCATGTAGTACATCCAAAAAGCACTTTCGATGGAGTGATCAAATGAATGAGTTCCATTTTTAAAAGTTTTAAAAATTATTTTTAAAAATAGAGATGGTCTCAAAGCTCAGTTATGCCCAGAAAGGAATCCTGTAAACTGACTTCTTATACGGGCTCAGTGTGTTAGTAAAATCTGCACTACAAATTCACGTTGTGGTGACCTCTAAGGATGGTTTATGTCATTTTTATACAAAGAAACCCAGGTCCTTGCATAATAATACAAAAGTAAGGTTCAAGTGTTTGTTGAATAACTGGCTGACTGTAGAATAGACAAAAGCATGATTCTAGGGGCAGTTTTCATAGTGAAGGTTCTGAGCAAGCCTCATTTTCCACAACCTTTTCTATCTAAAGAGAAGTACCCAACGGGATTCCTAACCTCCAATTTATGCTTTCAACTCTAATCTCAAGGACAGAAAATGCTATAAGCCCCAGGGCCATTTTAACAAAGAATTTGAGATTGCATAAAACCTCTAACAATCAAAACAAAAAGAAGATTGCCCTGGAAGGGGGAGAGGTGTATTTAAAACTCTCAAGAGTGCTTTAATAGCTGCAGGAACAAAGAAGACACAGAGGAGAGAACAGTTAGTTCTGCTGGCTGGGGCGGGGTGCCCGAGGGCCTGGGCGAGGTAGGATTCCTACCCCAGTGGCCTAAACCAGTTGCTTTATCTGGCCCAGCCTCACTTGTCTGCCAGTCTTTGAGAGTTCGCCTGGGCCTGACAGGCCTGGCCCCCTGGCCCAGCAGCTGAGTCACCAGCTAAAATCCTGGATGTCTGAGAGTCCCAGGGCCACTCAGAGGACTTAGCACCTCCGCCTGGGACTCAGCATGGCCAGAGATCCGTTCCATGACCATGGAGGGACCATGGCCAGAGCCTTTGAACTGTGCACGCTTTCTATTCAGAGGAGGAAATGGAGCTTACCGAAATCTAGAGATGAGATGCCCACAGGTACCTGTTGACCACCCCGTTTAACCTGTTGTCTTTTCTTTCCTTAATTTATTATTGTTTCAGTATCAGTGTAAGAGAATTTTACATTGCTTTCTTGGCCTGGAGGTAAATAAGTGTAGCTAAGAACCTGCCTGGTGAAATGCATGCTGGGAGGGGCATCATATCCACTGGGAGAGAAAGAAGGTCTAAAGCCCCCGCCTTACAGAATCATCCCCCTTGAAGGCTGGGGTCAAGCAGAGGGTGAAGTGCATGCTCATTGGCTCCTACCAAGAAAAGTCCCTCATATACCAATCAGACAATGTCCACTCATAATGAATGACAGCAATTTTGGCCACATATGGGTACCCACTGTGAGCCAGAGGCAAGCTAGGGCCTTTCCTCACACCTTCTCTTGGTTCCTTACTACCATCCCACAAGAAAGGCATTGTTAATCCCATTACACAAGAAAACTATCTCAGAAAATTCAAACAAATTACCTAAACTCCCAGAACTAGCAAGTAGAGCCCAGTTCAAAAGCAGGTCTAAATTTAGGTTTGCTTCATTGATTTATATCTATGTATCTACATATTTATTTATCCATCCATCCATTCATCCATCTATTCCTCCATCCCTCCATCTCTCCATTTTGTGGTGTTAGGAATCACATCCTCGGTATTTTTTCAATTTTTTTTTTTTTTTGGTACCGGGGATCAAACTCGGGTCCTTGCACTTGGGAGGCAGGTGGCAGAACCACTGAGCTAAATCCCTGGCCCTACATCCTCAGTATTTCTTAGGACTAGCAGGGGCCATCTGTTTAATCCCTGCAAGGTGATTGTGGGCTCAGAGTCTCTTGAGCCTGTATGTTTCCTTGGGGTCTGAATTTTTACTTTCTCAGGCTTTGTACAATGACCTCTGGTGAGGCCACTGTTGGGTGGTCCAGATGTCTCTCTCCCCAGTGTCTTCCTCTAGAGGTAGGGTGAGATGATACCCAAACAGGGAGCCTGGGCTGCTGTCCAAAGAGCCACTTTTCTGTTGAGAGCGCTCTCTTTTATCTTTAGAGAAGAACAAACTATCAAACTCACAAATATTATCCCCTAACATCAAATATACTAAAGAGGGGTCCCACAGAAAATCCTGGCAGGACCTGACACACCTACAACTCCAGTATAAAGACATCTCCTCTGTGCTTATCAAGATGACTGAAATTCTACTATCATTGAGTCAGTTTTCTGCTTTACCCAAGCAATCCAGTTCTAGCAATGCTTCCTACAGATGTTCTCAAACAGTGGTTGAAATGGTAGAGAACAGGCCAACATTGTTTGTAATAGAAATAATTTTGAAACAACCTAATAAAGCTTGATTAAACAGATTGAGACTTGGTTGTATGGAAGAGTAGCTAAATGAACTGCAGTACATGTCTTTGCTTTCTATTGCTATAACAAAATACCTGAGATAGGCTAATTTATAAAGAAGAGAAGTTTATTTGATTCAAGATTCCAGAGGCTGGGAAGTCCAAGAGCAGGGTGCCAGCAACTAGGGAGGCCCTTCTTGGTGCAATGTAACATGGCAGAGGGCATCACATTGTCTTAGTTAACTTTTCATGTAGCTGAGACAAAATACCTGACATGCAAAGTTAAAGGGGAGAGGTTTATTTAGCTCACAGTGTGTAGAGGTTTCAGTCCATATTGGCTGGCTCCAAGGCAGAGTGGCACATGATAGAAGGGCATCAGTTCATGGCAGAGGAAGACAGCAAAAGCAACAGGGGGCCTTAACAATGGCTTTCTGCCCCTTTTATCTTATTCGCTACTGAGGATGAGTAGCACTCATACCCCTAATCCTGGTGTCCTCCAACATATCATTGCATCACACACGCTAGATTCAGCTACCTTTGAAAAAGCCCCACTTAAGACCACATGAGGCTTTGGAGGGACATCTAGGCCCAAAATACAACAACATGGTACTAGCTTGGTTCTCCTTTTTCTTATAAAGCCACTAATGTCATGGCGGGGGCCTCATGATGTCATCTAACACTAATTACCTCTATAGGGCCTACCTCCAAATACCACTAGCACATGCATCTGGGGATTAAATCTCAATCAGCTTATGGGGGAAACATTCATGCCACAGCAGAATAGCCATACCATACAAAGGAATTTGGATTTTTTCTTTTTTTTGGTACCAGGGATTGAACTCAGGACTTTGCATTTGCAAGACAGGCATGGCACCACTGAGCTAAATCCCTGGCCCTCCATAGGACACAAAGGGACACTATGTAACTATTTAAAATTGAAGCAGCGGGCTGGGGATTTAGCTCAGTGGTTTCGCTGCCTGCTGCACAAGCACAAAGACCCAAGTTCGATCCCTAGTACCAAAAAAATAAAAAAAAAATAAAAACAAAGCAACTTTTCACACATCTGAAACAATCTGCCAAAGATGTAAAGTGAACAAGGCAAGGTAGAGAATTCCATATACACAAACACACCCATGATCTGTGCAGGTCCATCTCTAGAAGAATGAGGAAAAGCTTGGTGCCAGCGTTGCTTATAGAGGGGACACTAAGAACTGGGCATGGGGCAGAAGCAGTGGTGTCACACCATGGTTTGCACAGTGCCATGGGGTGGCCTTGATGGAAGACAGGTTTCTGCTCTTTGTCTTTTCTGAGCCTTTGGAGTAGCACCGCATCTTGTGTAATAAAAAATGGAAATGAAACATTACAGTAAAATATAATCAATCCTTATAGCTCTGAGGATTCAGGTCAGTCCTGGGTTTCTGCACTCATCGGGGATGTAGTTGGTGGTCTGAGCACCCTGAGCATGCAGAGGTGAGGAAAACACAACTAATTTAAAGAGCACATGCCTGGGATGTGGACCCTGTTGCAATAGTCACAGCTGTCTCTTGTTGAGTGCTGGGTGCCTGTGACACAGGTGGCTGCTAAGCCTCATGATAACCTGTGACCTGGGCCACTTCTAGCCCCAGGGTGCAGAAAGGGGACTTGAGCAGGAGACTCCATGCCACAGGAGCTTGGCTGAGGGGCAAGGAGGGATGGAGCCTGGATTTGACCTCAGTGGGCCCTGCTGGCTCCTGACCATCAACCCCAAGGGCCCTGGGGGAGTAGGGAAGAAGACAGATGCCATTTCTTCATCCCCATTACCTACCTAATACACCATGGCACTGAGCAGAACCCTGGGCCAACAGAGGGGACCAAGCAGAGCAGGTTCCTAGCCTCTAGTAGGTCACTCTCCAATGGGTGGAGGGCACAATAAGCAAGAATCTACAGGTGGCTCCTAGAAGAAGCTGAGGGGCAAGGAAGGGCTTCCGAAGGTCCCTCATTGCCATGAGAACCCAGGCCAACTCAACACTGTCTGTTTCCATTCAGCCCCAAGCTTAGTCCTGAGACCTGAACATCCTCCATAGAATCTTGGTTTGATTGATGTCAAACTGAAGCCTTTTTTTTAATTTTTGGTGCTGGGGATTGAACTCAGGTCCTTGCACTTGCACAGCAGGCGGCGAAACCCCTAAGCTAAATCCCCGGCCCCAACTTAAGCCTTTTTGCTCTTTTAAAACCCAAGGAGCAGTGCCACTTTGAGCTGTACTCTCATAAGCTCTTCCCTCCCTCCCCTCTACACCTGCCCTCTGCCCACAAACCCCCACCAACCCCTCAGGGTGGGTTCCCGACCCTTAGCACCCCATCCCACCCCACTAGTGATGCTCTTGTTCCTTCCCTTTGTCTCCCTCACACAGATTCTCCACTTTGGCCTGACTCATCTGCTCACTGGCCTTCATGCTCAGTAAAACCCCCCTTCCTGTCCCCTTTTCTGCACATAGGACACTTACTTTCTGCTATTTCCCCCATTATGTGCACTTCTTCTTTCTTCATCTATCCATCCACCCACACACCCACTCCTCCATTCATTCATCAGGCATCATGGTAAATAGCAGATTCAGGCCAGGCTGTCTGGACCCTAAACCTGGCTCTATACTTAGGAGTGGGTCTACTTTTCTATCTGTAAAATAGGACTACTAGTAGTACACACCTCACTGAGTTGTAGTCAGAGTTAATAAGTTGACACACGTGAGATTCTTGGGACACTTCTTGGCCTGGTCCTTGGTTAATGCTTTAATTGGAAGTGTTTGTTGCTTGCAATTATCACTGTGCACAGCATGTCAGAGACACAATAGTGAATAAGACAGCTGCAGCCCACGCTCACAAGGGTTTACCAGCCGGGGAGACAGATATTAAACACATAATTACTGCCATGTTGGTCTCTTGGGGAAAGATAGAAAGGTAAATAGTTGACTCTAACACCACGTGCTGGGTGCTCCTGGCCCTCATGGAGTAGGGGTGAAAGAGAGGAAGGCGCTGAGTATAAAGGGGCATCTGATGTGCAAAAAGAAAAGACCCTGTCAGTCCAGGGTACAGCAGGAGCGATGTTAGGGAGGCGCACAGAGGTACCCAGTTTCCCATGCCGTAAGAGTGTGTGATACAGGTAGAAGGTGGCAGAAGCAGGGCCGGGGGTGGGTAGGAGGTGCAGAGGCCAGCTCACCAAGGCTCATGAGAGATGTGCATCTAGAAAGCCTCCTTTCCAGAAAAGAAGCTGGCAGGGGACAGGCTTCCGGAGTCCTTCGTGTGTCCTGCAAGACCAGCCAGCTCTGGGAGCACACTTGGGGGGACAGCCGAGGTCACAGAAAGCACTCATTTTATGTCCCCTGTTGGGAGAAGGGGCAGAGTCCTGCAGCCTACACAAAGGTCCCTGGGATGAGGCAGCCAAGGAGGCAGGAGAGAAGACAAGTGCCCCAGGAGCCAAGGGCAGTGAGTGTTTGGTTCATGGAGGTCAAGAAGGACAAAGAGCACCAAACCTCCACAGCTTTGTAACCCATGTTCTTTCTCCCACACCACCACAATGAAGCCATCTGGCTTCAGCCAACCAAAAAGCACAGGGGCTGCCTTATACTTTTATAGAATTGCATTTGGGGCCTCATAAAAAATAGGAGACACAGCCCACTTTCTTGAAGCTTACAGTGTAGCCAAGAAGAACAGGTTATTTGCAAAAGCATACAATTCACAGTGCTACAAAACTCCATTTCTGGTTTCTGCCGATGTCCCCTGGATCACTTCCCCACAGCCTTACAACTTGATAATGGAAGAACAGAATGAGTAGGTGGACAGACCTTGTCTCTACTCATTAATTTTTGTGGTGGGAGTTGCTCAGTGTTTGCCAAGAGAGTTGCTGGTGGTAGCCTAAATACAATTGCAAATTTGCAAAATAAATGT